GAACAAGCTTATTGATTAATTCTCTGCTTATGAGTTATGCGATTTCAACAACACCTTTACGTCGCTGTTCCAAAGCTTTCGCTAAAGAAGACATCAAATCTCCCTCGGCGACCGTGGTATTTCGTTTGGGCAACGCCGACACATCCTCAGCAAGCTCCTCTTCCTGCAAGCACATCATACATAATTTTTGGAAACATTTTGCACGCGCTTGCTAAATAAATACACTAAAAGTATCAATCCAGAACAAACCCTTTTCTTCACCGATCGCAACTTCGCGCCTTTTGTGCCACCAGCTCTGCGTATCGCCTCCATTAAATTTGCTCTGTCATCGCCGGATGTTACGGCGATTTTTGGTGCGGTGATGGAGCTCGGCGGTGGTGGGGGAGGAGGAGGAGGGGGCATGCTCCCTGAAAAAAATTCAATATAAGAGCGGAAGATAAAAATGAACCCCCAAAAAAAATCTTTTTTATGTACGTGAATAAGATGCTTTTTGCCAAGCTAAGTAAAATACGTCAGTCAGCACATATTTCGGTGCATTCATGATTTCTGGATGAAGGAAGAGGGAGAGAGTTGACAAATGACATCAAAATTCAGTGGAGTTATCAAGAAAACAATTAATTGCAGAAAGATGTGGCCGTCGTGAAGGACCAAAAAGCATGCCCGAATTTCTTCGTTGTCAGCAGTAATAACATTAAATTAAAAAATTGCTTTCTAATCGCACTATGAAAATCATGTTATATTTTTCAGTCCAAAGGAAGCCGGATTTACAAAACAAAATTTTTTCCCATAATCATTATCTTTAACTTTTTCTCCGTATTTTACATTCTTATTTCCTTCAAAGTCCTGTCAGGTAATTATGTCGAGTAAGGCACTAAGCTTGCTAAAACAAACCGTAGAAAGGCTAGCAAGCTGACTGATAGGCAGTGCAATTTAGGTCAAATCTACTGAATATTTGTTCTATTTTTAAGACAGATATGCAGATTCACTGCTTATAACTTACCGCTTTGGATGGCGAGAGTAGGCCTTGAAACATTTCCCGTATCGTTATTTGTCACTTCGCTTTCTCCCAAAAGTGGTACTTGTTTTTCGCAAGTTTGTTTCTCTAGCAACTGTGATTGATTCGCAATGCCGTCGCCGCCAGTTACTACCGAATTTTCAGTATTCCGTACAGCGGGTGACTCAGATTCAATCTTCTCATTTTTATCAGCGACTGGCTCGGGGGCCGAGGCCGTCCTCTGAGGTTCGTTACTGATCATCCCGTCTCTTTCTTGATGTGTCGAAATGGTATGTGCTTCACTGGACAAACCTGCAGAACGAATAATCATGCGCTAAGGTCACTCATGTTGCAAAAAAAATCATCGTAGCTGCTAACACAAACCTGCTGTACTGAACAACAGATCGGGAAGGCAGAAATTCTGCAGTGATTCAAACTCAGGCTGATACTGCAACGGGTCCTGCTTCTGCTTTATGCTGACTGCCAGGGTTGAGTCATCTGCAATCGGAGAAACGTTCTGCTGGAACTCAGATGCCTGTGGCTCCACGGCGATCTACAGCAAACGAAACATAGCAAAGTAAACGATTTCAGGGAGGCAAAAAGTGACAACACTTAAAGTGGCGGAGGTAATGTCTTATAAAACGTACTTTCAACTTTTGCTTTAACCTTTTTATTTTATCTTAACTTTCCT